TGCTTCTCCCCCCTAATTTCCTAAAATGCCATTCAGGACGCTCATAAGAAAGCTTTGAAGCACCAAATGATAAAACTCACAGTAGTTGTTATGACCTCATTGAGCACAGTCTTGGCCAACACCCTTCTTATTCCAGTTTTGAGCCTCTCTTCTAAAGAAAATCAGCTTTACAGTAATTAGTTACAGGAGTGAAAGGGAAAGGAGAGTTAAAAGGAATGCAGAAATGTACTCCAGGGGAATGTGAGACTAAAGAAACTACTACTCTAAAGTTGCAACATGGTCCTAGCCGGGGGCTCTCGAACGACAGACCATCCAGGTAGTCTGCAGGAAGTTTGTAGAACAATGAAGAATATATGTTCTTGGCCTGACATTTGATTGATTGATTTTTTTCTGATAAAGGAGATTGGGACCGCTTCGATCAGGGACAGATTATTGACTAGTCTCTGTGATTTTCATAATATAGTGGTACCTCGGGTTACAGACACTTCAGGTTACAGAGGCTTCAGGTTACAGACTCCACTAACCCAGAAACAGTACCTCAGGTTAAGAACTTTGCTTCAGGATAAGAACAGAAATCGCACAGCAGCAGTGAGGCAGCCCCCATTAGCTAAAGTGGTGCTTCAGGTTAAGAACAGTTTCAGGTTAAGAACAGACCTCCAGCACAAATTAAGTTCTTAACCCGAGGTACCACTGTAGAGTACTGATGCAGCCTTAAACTGATGATGACCGCAGTACCTCAAGGACCCACCTCTTCCCATATAAAACCATCCCCAGACTCTGCGTTCATCATCTGAGGCCCTTTTCTGCGTGCCTCCTCCACGTGAAGTCCAAAGGGTAGCACCTAGGGCTGGGCAATATCAGCTTTTCAACATCGCGGTATATCACCAGTCAAACATCGTGGTCTGGCAATATACTGTGATGTTGAAAAAACAAGCTGCATTGGCCTCAGCCTGCGAGGCGCCGGGAGAATTTGTCGCAGCTCTCACTGCAGAAGCTGAGGCGGTTTCACCCCAGTGCCTAGCAGGCTGGGACAACGCAGCTTGTTTGTCTGGCTCAGCTGGGGCGCGGGAGGACTCCCCAATCGCAGAACAGCCATCCCTGGTCCTCCCCTCCAACTTGCGCAGGAGCCAGCGCTGGGCTGGGGGATCCTTCAACTGCTCGGCTGAGGGGAGTGGCAACCACACACTCTTCAGCCAAGCAATTTAAAGATGCAGAGAGAGGCGCAAGCTGCATTGGCGCCTCACCGATGCAGCTGTTTTCTTCCTCTGCGCAGTATGAGGGCAGAGTGGGATGGCGGTTTCACTCAGTGATGTATCGCTGGTGAAATCGCCACTGCTCCTGAGTCCCTCTGCTAGTAACGCTCACTGGAGGAAGACGCAGCAGAGGGACTCAGGAGCAGTGGCGGTTTCACCAGCAACACAAGACTGGGCCTTTTCTGCAGTGGCTCCCCGTCTGTGGAATGCTCTCCCCAGAGAGGTTCACTTGGCACCTTCATTATATATTTTTAGGCCCCAGGCAAAAACATTCCTCTTCAACCAGGCCATTGGCTGATTTATATCCTACAACCTTTTAAATGTTCTCTGTGAGAAGGGGGGCGATTATTGTTTTGCTGCTTTGTTTAATTATTTACATGTTTCTATCCTGTATTTTATTCTGTGAACTGCTCTGAGATCTTATGATGAAGTGTGGCTTATTATTATTATTATTATTATTATTATTCCCCTTTATGTTACTAGATAAAGGGATATTTTCATACCAAAGCAATAATTTTGACAACAATACCAACACTGAAGGAGAAATGTTATTAAAATCTGAAATCTATGTTTTGATTTGTAGAATAACAAAGGATTTACTAAATGGTCTCCTGAGGGGCCACTCTCACGCCAGTTAGTGGCCTGCAAAAAAAAAATTATGTTGGAGAACTGCCATGACTCTGGTAAAAAATAGTTTCCGCACAAGCTACACCTGTTGAAAGCTCCTTTTCTGTACACCAGTTAAAGTGTAGGAGCCCTGTCTTCTTCTGCTATACTTGTTACATAGAAGACACATAGAAAACAGCAAAGGAAAAGCCTTTGGCAATTGGGGCTTTATAGCCCTGAAAGACAAGCAACAGCAAGAAGGGCTGTGGCACAGACTTCTAATATCATGAACATTGCAGGGAGAGTGAATAGTGAAAAACACACCAATTCTGACTCAAAACATGACATGCTCCAGGATCTTCTGAACCTGGCAGGGTGTGTAAGATGCAGGCCAGTCAAAACTGTACTTCATGTGGTTTGTAATTATTATGCAGAATTCACTGCCCCAGGCTGCATTGAGAACCACGAGTTTAAGCATCCTTGAAAATGTGTTTGCAGAGGAAAGAACCACCTAGGAGCCTCAAGGGTGAAGCATGGAACAGCTGTGATCAGAGGCAGTCTACCACTGATCACCAATGCCCTGTTCAAACAACTGGGGGTGTTCAGCTCCACTGCACCTTGCCTTCTCAGCATCCTGCTAGCCTCCCTGTCAGAAACAGAATGCAGAAATAGATGGGCCTGAGGTTTTCTGACACACCAAAGCTGAGCTCCTTCAGGAAAACTGGCAATGGCTAAATGCTACCTCCAAGATGAGAGGCAGCTTGCCTCTGAATGCCAGCTGCTGGGGAACAAAAATGGAAGAGGGTTTCTGCACTCATGCCCTGCATCTAGGTTTCACATAGGCACCTGGTTGGCCACTCTGGGATAACATATGACAGACATTGCACATCACATCATGGACTGCCTGGTCACAGGATTGACTGACTGACTCCAGCTGCAGAAGCTGAAGCTGCTGAAGAGACCCGAGACCATCTTGGCTGTGAGTCGTGGAAGACCTGCTCCCTGCCTTGCAGGCCTTTTCCCACCTGGCCTGGGATGCTGGGGCCCTGACTGACTCCAGCTACAAAAGCTGAGGCTGCTGAACAGACTCTCGGGCTAGGGTATTGTTTTGTTGCGGGGAGAAGAGTGAGAGGTTGTTGCTGCTACTGATATTAATTTTTGTATCTTTACTCTTCAATCTTGTTGTGATTTAATGTGGAAGTTGTTCAGTTTAGTTCTGTACTTTTTAATGTGTTTCATTTACAGTATTGTTTATGACCATTTTGATTATATTTGCAATTATGTAATGGTTTGAACACTAGAAATATGGCATACAAATAAAATTATGTATTTATGTATGATCATTTATAATAATTTAAAAACATCATCCACACCAGTCACACAAGGCAGTGTTTGCCACATCACCAAACTGCTAACAGGGTAGTGAATGAACAGATGCAAAATGGTAGAAGGAGACCATGAATTCCACAGGCGTTTGCATGTGAACATCATAGAATCATAGGACTGGAAGGAACCTTGTAGGTCATCCAATCTGTTGCTCAAAGCCGGATCTATAGTGCAGGATGCAATTGCTGCCTCCTTGACAGATGGTTGTCTACAACCTCTGCTACACTACCACCAGCAAAGGAGAACCCAACCCCTCCCAAGGCCAGCTGTTCCACTGTCAAACAACCCGTAACCATTTGGATGTCTCACCTAAGTGTTGAAGCCAAAATCCGCTTCCCTGCAATTTCCACCCATCAGTTCTAGTGCCACCCTTGCAAGTAACAGAGAACACATCGGCTCTCTCTTCAGTTTGACAGCCCTTCAGATACTGCAAGGCAAGTGATTCCCCTGCCTGTTCCTTCTCCATACAACACCTCCCCCAGCTGCTTCTCTTCCAGACTCATGTTTGCTGCATCCAAGGAAAAAGCAGCAGCGTGGGGTGGGAGGACAGTAGTACCAGTAGGCAGAGAAAGGGTTAAGCACCCCCCTCCCACCAGCTGCTTTTCCGCTACAAAACACACACTCCCCTTTGCTACTTTACAGCTGCTCAACAACAAGCCAGGTTCCCCAGCCCTGGCAAATGCTGCCATTTTGTTCAGCCCTTAAACAAGTATGAAGAGGGCCTTCATTTGCACTCGGGAGTGATATTACTGCTCTTCCCTCCCTCAGGGATCCACAGCAATGTTCACCTCGTGGAGTTTATCTGCTTTCTGTGTTTGTTTCTTTCTGCTCCTCTGGGCCGCAACTCTGTTCTTCTCTCTCCGTCGTACTTCCTTTCATCGTCTTCATGACCCTGGCCAACGAAATCAGATGTCTTAGTTAGGGTTCACCTACAAAGGAGTTTAATGTGGATTTGAAGCTCCTTGTGCCTCCATTCCCCACCCCCACCCTGCAGCGTCCACATCATTCATCCAACCAACCAACCGGCAGCCAGTTAATTTGGTCCGTCCCCCCGAGTTAATTAAGATTTTTCCAATCCATGGCTAATCCAGTTTGTAGAAGTATCCAGTATAAAATCAACATGCACTGACTGTGGATGCAATGAAGCACACTGTGTAGGTGTGTGGGTTTGTGTGTAGTGAAGTTTTGCAGTGTGGTGCTGGAGGAGACTCTTGAGAGTCCCATGGACTGCAAGAAGATCAAACCTCTCCATTCTTAGGGAAATCAGCCCTGAGTGCTCCCTGGAAGGACAGATCGTGAAGCTGAGGCTCCAATACTTTGGCCACCTCATGAGAAGAGAAGACTCCCTGGAAAAGACCCTGATGTTGGGAAAGATGGAGGGCACAAGGAGAAGGGGACGACAGAGGACGAGATGGCTGGACAGTGTTCACGAAGCTACCAGCATGAGTTTGACCAAACTGCGGGCGGCAGTGGAAGACAGGAGTGCCTGGCGTGCTCTGGTCCATGGGGTCACGAAGAGTCGGACACGACTAAACGACAACAACATGCCATCTATTGTTGCACCCTCTACTGTCATTTGCTCCTTGTCTGAGCACAGCCTAGCCATTCTGTTTCCATCAGCCAAAAGGAAAGGATGTATCATGCCTATTTCTACCAACTGTGACTGAAGGTAGAGAAATCATATTATTATTATTTTTAAACTGCTCTTCTGCAAAACAGCAGTATTAAGAATAAAATTAAAACTGCGCTTCAGTTGCCGACACATTCCAAATATGCCTACTTCCAACTACTGCATGCTGGGGGTATGTTTGCCGAACATAACTAAACCTTTATATTTCTTAAATTTTAATACAGAGGCTTGTGTAAGAGGAGTCTTGTGCAAAACCTACACACACACACACACACACACACACACACACACAACTACAACATGTAAACATTAATTGGGAGTGAAGGGAGATGGGAATGTGGACACAAAAAGGTGAAGGACTAACCTAAGAACACGAAAAGAAGGAAGAATCACCGAGCATTGGGGGCTAGATGGACTAGAACCTTGTTTATTTCTTAATTCAAATCCCTTTCCCAATTCACAACTCTTCATTTTGACCATTGTGAAATACGCCACTAACCTTTGTTCTTGCACACTTCCTGGTGTGTGTGCTATTTTTAAATTTTTTTAAAAGGTGGCACTGGTAAAGAAACACCTGCTGTTTGCAAAAATGGGAATGGAGGGTAGATTGGCTGCTGCTGTAGCATCTGCAGCTTAACATAAGAGGAAGCCAGTGGCCCATTGAGTCCAGCATCCTGTTCTCACAGTGGCCAACCAGAGAACTGTTGGAAACCCACAAGTGCAACCCGAGCACAAGAGCACTCTCCCCTCTGGTGGTTTCCAGCAGCTGGTATTCAGATGCATAGCATGGCCCCTTCGCTCTGCTTAATGGGCCCTGGAAGGCTTTGGTGTGCTTAAAAAAAGGTAAAGGGACCCCTGACTGTTAGGTCCAGTCGCGGACGACTCTCGGGTTGTGGAGCTCATCTCGCTTTACTGGCCGAGGGAGCTGGCACACAGCTTCTGGGTCATGTGGCCAGCATGACAAAGCCACTTCTGGCGAAGCAGAGCAGCGCATGGTAACGCTGTTCACCTTCCCGCCAGAGTGGTACCTATTTATCTACTTGCACTTCACGTGCTTTCGAACTGCTAGGTTGGCAGGAGCAGGGACCGAGCAATGGGAGCTCACCCCGTCACGGGGATTCGAACCGCCGACCTTCTGATCGGCAAGCCCTAGCTTAATGGGCCCTGAAGGCTTTGGTGTGCTTGGGTCCCAGCAAAATCACTGAAGCGGACCTGGGTCTTCTCTCTGCTTTTCCCTTTAGGGGTATGATCTGCTCGCTGAGGCTTCCCACTGTCTTCTGTGGATGGTAAGCACTTTGCATGTGCGCGGGAGTTCCCCCACTGAGAATGCATCGAATTTCCAATCTAACTCACTCCTTCTCCCCCCATTGCCCCCACACCCCCACTCCGTCTCCTTCTCTTTGAAAAGCAATTTTTAAAAAAACACACAAGGCAGTGCAGCTGACGGTACCTACTGCCTTCCAGCAAGACATGACCAACGAGTCGCTTATGACCACTGGTGGGTTTTGATTTAGAGAATTATACAGTGGGTCCTGCAACAAAATTTTGCAGTATGAAGTGCAATTTTGTTCTGGGTTCCAGTCACTCCCCATGCCATCCCCCTACCCCAAGATCCACTCCTAATAGACGGAAATCCATGCCCACCAAGAATAGGGTTGCCATATTTCAAAAAGCGAAAATCTAGACAGAAAAGTTCTTTTGGTTTTTTTAATTGCAAAATTGCAGGGAAATTGGATGTTTTCGAGCTACCGTATTTCTGAGGGAAATCTGCAAAAACGACAGTCCTGACATGGGCTGCCATACGTCCGGATTTTTCCCGGACATTTTTGACGATTTCCGCACAGACACTGCTTGTGGCCGTATGCCAACCCTAACTGAGGATGCTCCACTCCAATGTGGTTTCTACTCCCTGCTTTGGGAAGGGCGAAATGGACATGCTTGTGCCTGATCCTAGTTATATTAGATTGCTTAATTACCCCATTGATGTCTATGGGTAATTCTCACCTCCTTCCCTGGAGACTTTTAAAAATCAGCATTTCAGGGTGAACAAGGATGTGGCCTATCTATATAAAGAGATTGTCCTTTCTGCCTTTCCCTGTTCCTTTCTCTTTCCATCCACTCTGATTCATTCCCTCCTTCCACCTAACAGTCAGTTTCTTTCTTCTCACTCTCTCAGTCACTGATCTGTTAGTTACTGTATTGTTACGCAATTTAAATTCAGGCCCATCTAAGCTTAGCATCCTCTTCTCACAGTGGCCGACCAGATGCCTGTGCGAAGAGCCCTCTCTCTCCCCTCTGGTGGTTTCCATCAACTGGCATTGAGAAGCTCTGCTGCCTCCAAGCTGTGGAGGCAGAGCAGGGCAATCATGGATTGTAGCCACTGAAAGATAGGACTGTTGTTCAATGGGAAAATTCAAGCTGCGTGCCTTTGCTCTGTTAGTGTCAAATGGACAAACAGAGCAGCTTGTTCTAAGTTTGTTCTGAAATGTATAGTCCCATAGGAGATCCCTGACAGGCACAGTCCACCAGGGTTCCTTTCAGTGGTGCCAAGTGGGGTGGGGTGGGGGGGTCCCAGTCGCATAAAGATTGAGAATATCCAAGTTGGCAACCTGTAACTTATAAGTCATAGACCTTAGAATCATAGAACTGCAGAGTTGGAATGGCCGTGAGCGTCATCTGACATGCAGGAAACTTTCACCCGGAATTATTTCTGTGCACACCTGTTTCCTCAAACCTTACCTGCTTCACAGATTTCTTCTAAAACATACCCATGAGATTTCGTTTATTTATTAAATTCGTAAACTGCCCTTTGCCTGAAGATCTCAGGGCAGTTCACAGCCCCAAAATACAAGATTAAAAACACAAAATACGTAATAAAAAGAAGGAAAAGACAAAAACCCATAGCCTTTCCTGGTAAGTAAACTGTTCCACACACACCTCTGTCATTTTGGCTGCCCTGATCCTCCACCCCCATATATTTTTTATTTGATCTGATTTTGGTTTTTGAGACTGCACAGCAGCACCAAACCTCTGCAGCCCTGCTCGGTGGTTTTATTTCTGATCCCTCAGAAGCATGGGGAAGATTTACTATGAAACTAAATGAAGCTCAAGCTTCAGGGTCTTGAATTCCAGAGGAGCCCCAGAAGTGACTTCAGTCCACTTTGCTTAAAATGTTTGCGTCTAGTAGCACAAATCAAATAGATATTTTTTTGCTGCATACATTTCAACGAAGTTTGAGAGTAAGTAGCACAGTAAGCTGGCTGTTCTGCTGTGGCTAATATAACCCCTTCCCTTTTTTGAAAAAACAGACCCTAGAGAGGAAACTAAGCTAAGGGTCTGGAAACTAAGTCTTATGAGGAGCTGGGTATGTTTAGCCTGGAAAAGAGGAGACTGAGAGGAGATATGATAGCCACCTCCAAATATCTTAACGGTTGTCACATGGAAGAGGGAACATGCTCGCTTTCTCTGGAGGGTGGGACTCGAGGCAATGGCTTAAAGTTACCAGAAAGGCCATTCCGACTAAACATTCGGGAAAACTTTCTGACAGTCAGAGCTGTTTGTCAGTGGAACAGACACCCACGAGAGGTGATGGACTCTCCTTCCTTGGAGGTTTTGAAGCAGAGGTTAGATGACCATCCTGTCATGGGTGCTTTCAGCTGAGATTCCTGCACTAGATGACCCTCGAGGTCTTTCCCAACTCTTAAGATTCTAATGATTCTATGAATTCACGAAAGTGGATACCCAAAACGCAAATTGTGGTGATCTGCCGTGGAGCAACCCCATGGAAGAAGAAGAGATCCGTGGTTAGACCTCGTTGCTAGTTGTGAAGGGGCCCCCATAGCAGCTCAAGCTTCAAGCCCCGCCCGCCCCCCATGTAGGTCCGCCACTGCTGGGAAGGAGCGCGCAAGGGCGACTCGGCGCAACCCTTTTCCTCCCCCCCGGGTCCCCTTTCCAGCCCACTTCCTGGCCTCGGTCTCTCTCCCTGGCTTACCTGCTGCGTCCCCTCCGAAGAGGAGCTCCTTCGCAAAGTGCCCGCCGCCGGCGCGCCCTGAGACATCCCGCCGAGGCGGCGCTGGCGCTCCTCCTTGTGCGCGCAGCCGGCAGGAGGCGGCCAAAGCGCATCGGGGGAGCCCCGGAGAGGTGGAGCGTCGTCGTCGCCGCGCTGCGCCGGACGAATGCCTGCTTGGCTGCTTGCCTTGCTTTGCCTCTCAGCCTAGGCGGAAAGCCCAGCCAGGGACATCCCGGCAGCTGCCGGCAACCGCGAGGCGCGCGTGGTTCCCCGGCCGCTCGCCGCCTTGCTGGGGCAGAACCCGGCCGGGAAGAGAGCAGAGGCAGGCAGGCGCCCGCTCCCGCTCCCGCGCTCGCCTGACTGGGGCGCCCGGGCTGCGGCGGCGCCTTCCGAGGCGGGCTCGAGGCGGGCTTCGTGGAAATCACGTGGCGCCCCGGATGAAACTTCGGAGGGAACTGGCTGCGCGACCACAGGCCGGGGGGCGGCGAGGGAGCCGCCCGAGGGGGAAGCGAGGCCACGGGGGCTTTTCCCTCGCTCTTTCCCCACCGCCGCGTCTCGGCCAGAGCAGCGGCCCCAGCCAGAACCGCTCCCCGCCGCCGCCCGCCTGCCATCCCGGGCCGGATCAGCGCGGAGGGGTCGTGTGAAACCAGAAGTTCCTCAGCTCGCCGCCCACGCGCCGCTTCAAAAAAGAATCGCCTTGTTATTAATTTCACGCTTCCAGTACTTATAGACTTATATTTCGTATTGCATCACAAATTCAAGTTTTTTTTTTAAAAAAATTCTTTTTGTGATTATATTTTTTCCTTTCACTTTGTATTGGCACCGAAAATTTTCAAAAAGAATCGTATTTTATGCAAACAGCAGATGGAAAATTGGAAGTTCCTCTTCTGTATTTTCTGCTAATGTCTTCCATATATATATATCTTATTAAGTTT